CTGCCCCAATAAACTAATTATTGAGGCAGTGCGTCCGAACCGCCCCGAACCGGAAACAAACGCGCAGCGAACCGAGCCGAATCGGGCGGCAAAGTTCACAGCGACGAACCGACCGAACCGAACTGGAAGGGTTCCGACACAGAACCGAACCGAACCGAACCGGACGGACTTCGGAACCTAACCAAACCGAACCGAGCCGGGCATCTCTGTAATCAGGCTCCAAAACCGTCGAACATGATCGACTCAGCCCGCAACAGGCTCCGAGACCCACAAATTCGCTCATAGCTTGGGCGGAGGACGGGGGCTGATCGGGCTCACCCTGGCCTCGCTTTGACGGGTACAGCCCGCCTCGCGACAGCTCGTCTGGGATTCGCTGATGAATGGGCTGTCTGGGATGCGCGAAGCGTCACGACTTGACCGTGACCTGACCGTCGCCACGGCGGAGGGGGGGGGCAGACTGCTAGGGATAAGAGCGAAGGTGTCACGTTTTCGCGATAACGCCGGTTGACGGGGCCTTCCTCCCCCCTCCCCTCCCCCGGTAACATCACGCTGCGCGCGGGCGTCGTTTGGAAATGCGCACGGGCAGCTCTGGAACGACGCCGGCGCAAACCATGACATTTCCGGCCCCCTCCCCCCGCCAACCAGGCCCCCAACTCACGCGCATTATCGCTTGAGGAGAGGTGAGAAGGATTTGAGCAACTGGCTCAAGCAGGCCAAAGACAGAGCTGGACCAATCGACGGAGGCCGTGAAGACCGCCCCTCGGGAACTCCCCATGCGGGAAGGGGAGTAGATGTGGGGAGGGAGGGGAAGGGAGAGTATGCTACAGGGGAGGGAAAGGGAAGGGAAGGGGAGGGAAAATGTATCTGGGGAGGCGAAGCGAAGGGAAATGGAAAAGGAAGGGAGGGGATGAGGGGAAAAACAGGGGGCAGGGGCGAGGAACCAGGGGCGGGCAGGCAGGGGCGGAGGGAACGGGAGACGGGGGAGGGGGGGCGGGAAAAGAGGAGCGCAGGCGCCCCGCTGCTTGATGTCGGCTCTTGCGAGCAAGACACTCTCGCAGTTGGCCTGCGAAGAACCCTTGCGCGCCCCGTGCAGGGAGGGGGGGTTGGCGCTCGCGCACGAAATGACTGGAGGGAGGAGGGCGCTCCGGGCACGTGTGCGGTCCACTCTGTGGAGCATGGAAAAGCATCAATGGAACTGCCGACTTCTGCGCCGCCGACTTAGTAGTAGTAGTAGTAGTAGTAGTAGTAGTAGTAGTAGTAGTAGTAGTAGTAGTAGTAGTAGTAGTAGTAGTAGTAGTAGTAGTACTAGTAGTAGTGGTAATCGTAGTGGTAATCGTAGTAGTAGTAGTAGTAGTAGTAGTAGTAGTAGTAGCAGTAGTAGTAGTAGTAGTAGTAGTAGTCGTAGTAGTGGTAGTAGTAGTAGTAGTAGTAGTAGTAGTAGTTGTTGTAGTAGTAGTAGTAGTAGTAGTAGTGGTCGTAGTAGTAGTAGTAGTAGTAGTAGTAGTAGTGGTCGTTGTTGTGGTGGTGATGGTAGGTAGTAGTGGTAGTAGTAGTAGTATTACTAGTAGTAGTAGTAGTAGTAGTAGTAGTAGTAGTGGTGGTAGTAGTAGTAGTAGTAGTAGTAGTAGTAGTAGTAGTGGTAGTAGTAGTAGTAGTAGTAGTAGTAGTAGTAGTAGTAGTAGTAGTAGTAGTAGTAGTAGTAGTGGTCGTGGTAGTGGTAGTGGTAGTAGTAGTAGTAGTAGTAGTAGTAGTAGTAGTAGTAGTAGTAGTAGTAGTAGTGGCAGCAGTTGCACGCAACACTTGGGAGAACACGGTCGTGTGGACTGCGCGGCGGCTGGAAAGAAACCGTCATCGTCATCATCCTCATAATCACCATCATCCCCATCATGGTCGTCATCGCTCTACACGCAAGGACACGTGCAGGCGGATAGTCATAGTCATCATCATCATCAACGTCATCATCAACAACCTAAACATCTTCATCGTCATCGGTCTCTGCAAACTGACGTCCATACGGGCAGATTCTCAAAATTGTCCCCCCTGGGTGCTCCGAAACTGGGGTTTTGGAGGTACGATGGTCCTCCCCAGACATCTCGGCGAGGCTCTGTTGCACTTCCCCTTGCGTGCCAAAGGTCCGTGGTCGCCGTTCCACTTCGGATGTCCTCGGCGTGTGCGCTCTCGTTCCGGTTTATTTTTTGCACATGATTCTGATCGTTCTGACATACATGTAGCCGGTGAAACATCCTTGCTATATGTTAATTTCTTTCTTCATCTCTCAAATTGCGCAAAAGGCCGGACCGCACACGTGCCCGGTGCGGAGGAGGGACAAGCGAAACGCCGACTGCATCCGGGAGGACAACCCCACAGGAGCGCGGCGGCAGGGCCGTAACACTCAGATTGTGATGAGGATATTGGGTGACGAAGTTGGTCAGATCACATGCGTGCGAGTTCCTCCGCCTCGCTCTCACATGCTGGAGGGAGGGGGAGGAGGAGGAGGAGGAAGAGGAGGAAGAGGAGGAGGAGGGAGGAGGAGGGGGAGGAGGAGGAGGGAGGACGAGGCGGAGGAGGAGGAGGAGGAGGAGGAGGGAGGAGTAGGAGAGGGAAGGCGCGATGTAATATGGCCTTTGGGCGCCTGAACCCTGTTCGTGGGCCCAGTTTCCTGGAGTCACCACCGAGTAGGGCACGGTGGCCCGACGTAGCATCTGGCCTGGGGCCATGTGGGCCCAGGCCGCACGGGATGGGCCCACGACTCAAGAGAGCCTGGGCGCCGTGGCCAGGGCACTGCGGCTCTAGCGCGCAGATGCGCCTGCCAAGGCCGCGTGGACTAATCGTTATCATTGCCCTTCGATCGTGAGGAGGAGGGGGAAGACAAGGAGGAGGACAGGGAGGACAAGGAGAAGGAGGACAAGGAGGGGGGAAGAGGAGGCCCCGCCTTCGCGACGCGCAGCTGTGAGAGCTCGCTCTTCATCTCGTCGAGGTCCTGCGGGCCGCGGAAAAGGCCAAATCGGTGCCGCGCGAGAAAAAACAACAACAACAACAACAAAAACAAACAAAAAAAAACAAACAAAACAAACAAAAAAACACGCGCACCGTGGGTCCGACGGACCAGACCTGCGAGGGCAGCGGCGGGCGGGCCGGGGCCCGAGGAGGAGTCACGACAAATCATGGGAGGGCTTCCCCTGGAATCGAAGTGGTGTGAACTGGAGTCGGATAGATGATAACCAGTGCTGGAGTGGAGTCGGAATCGAAAATGGCCCTGCCGAAGCTGGGCTTCGTTCCTGCCAGCGCTGAAGAGATACGACCTGGAGTCGGAGACTGGAGTCGAGTGCAGGGGAGGAGAAGGGAGGAGGGGGAGGAGGGCGAGGAGGGGCCCGACGCGGTGCAAAGAACAGACAGTGCGGTGACGTCGGCATCCCCAGTGGCCTCCCCGCACGGGTCCGTCTCCGCACGGGCTGGGCACCCTGGAGCCGCCCCAAGTGCCTGAGACATCCTCGGGGAACGACCCAAGTCCCAAAACCGTGAGGTCACCTCGACTCCCCACTGACTCACCGCACGGTGTGGTCACCGCACCGTTCCGAAATCCAAGACGGAGAAAGAGAGGCAAGAGGGAGAGGCGGGGGAGGAACCTGTGGAACCCTCCGATGTCCCAGATTAGTATTTACGAGCTTTCAGCCGTGTCTTCATCCTTATCCTTTTCCTCTCTCGTTTCCTGCCTTTGCCTTTTCTCCCACATGCACATTATACGCATCTCCTTCTTTAAGCATACAAGCGAATCTCATTGGAAAGCAATATCAAAAACAAACATGTCCTCGCAGCAAGGGTCCGCTGGGAATCATTACCAAAGGATTCGACTGGAAAACCTGATGATAGGAACCGTTTGGAAAGCAGTGCCGGAGGTCTCTATTGGACAGCACCACACAAGGAATCCTTGTTTGGAAAGCGCCACACAGAGATCGTATGGAGAGCCTCACAATTGAAATCATTTAGAACGCGCCGCAACGGGATTATGTTGCTCAGCCTCGCACTCGGAACTGTGCAAAGTGCTACACAAGGACTCCAATGGATGACCTCACAACAGGGATCAGTTTGAAACCGCTACAGACACATTCTGTTGGGCACACTCATATGTGGAATGTGTTGGAAATCGCTCCAGAAGGACGTTGTGGGGAAATCTGTACAACTGAAATCCTGTGGAAAAGAATACAAAACAAATAATGTATCGGAAGGCTTCACGACAGAGATCCATTGGACAGCTCACAACAAGGTTAGACTGGCGCGCCCGCATCAAGAATCCTTCGGAAATCACCACACATGGTGTCTATGGCCTCGCAACAGGGATCCACTCGGAATCATTACATAACAATGAACACTGTTAGAAAAGCATTGCAGAAGGCTGCTATTGGAACGCATCGCAAGAGGAAACCTCTGGACAGCACAAACATATTCGATTGGAAAGCCTCGGATTTGGAACACTGTGCGAAGTGCGACACAATGATTCCATTATGTGGCCTCACTGCAGGAATCCTCTGAAAAGCGCTGTCTAATAACACGCATCCTGTTAGAAACAACCATGGTTGGAATATGGTTGAAAAGCACCTCAGGAGGATCATGTGGGAACACATAACTGGTTTTATCGGACGGTTTTGCGATACAAGTCCTTTGGGGAGCGCAAGACAAAGGATTCGATCGGAACGCTTCATAAGAGAAATTTGTTGGAAAACATGACAGCCTCACAAGAAGAATCCCCCCCCAAAAAAAAACACGAAGGACTCTTACTGGGCAGCATCACACGAAGAATCCACTGGAAGACGCTACGACGGCCTCCCTCTGGAAAGTACCACAAAGGGAGGAAAGCACCACACAGAGATTCGATTGAATTGGAAAGCGCCGCTAAAGGGTTCCTATTGGGAAGCCGCACAAAAAGGAACCCATCGGAAAGCACCGCAGAAGGATTCCATTGCAAAACTCACACCAAAAAACCATGAAACACACAACTGAGGGTCCCTATTGGAAACCCACACAAAACGGAATCTATCGGAAAGTACCACGCAGGGATTCAATCGGGATGCCTCACAACAGGAGTCATTTGGATAGCGCCGCACAGGGAGCCGATTGGAAAGCCTCACGACAGGACCCTGTTGTGGAAAACACCAAACTAAAATTAGACTGGAAAGCCTCGCAACAAGGATACTTTGGAAAGCGTAACAAAAGGTTTTGACGGGAAACCCTCACAATGGAAACCCTTTGGGATGCGCCGCATGTGGACTCTATTGGAAAGCATCACGTCAGGGAATCCTTCGGAAAGCACCACAAAGATATTCTGTTCGGATGCATCACAAAAAAAAAGAATCCCTCGGGAAACACAGAAGGGATTATGTTGGAAAGCCGTTACATCGGAATACATGGGCAAACATCACGCAGAGATTATGTTGGAAAACAACACAACGGGAATCATTTGGAAAACACCACAGCGGCATTCAATGGGAAACCGTCGCAATGGGAATCCTTTGGAAAACACCACAAAAAGATTCGATCGGACAACACCAATGAGGGCGCTTATTGGAAAACCGCACACAAGAGAATCCATCGAAAAGCATCACATAAGGATTCAATTGGAAAGCCTCACGACAAGAACCCTTTCGATAGCGCCGCGAAGGGATTCTATTGGAAAGCCTCACGACAGGACTCCTCTGGAAAGCACCAGACAAAAATTACACTGGAAAGCCTCGCAACAAAGATCCTTTAGAAAACACCACAGATGGATCCCACTGGACATCTTCAACCGTGGGGATTTATTGTGAGGACAAAATGTGATACCCCCCACTCCAGTCCGGGCCTTCCCTGGCACCCCCAGGTGGTTGACGACACTCTGATACCAGGGGCGATGGAGGAAGGGGGGAGGAAAGGAGGGAAGAGGGGATGAGGGAAGGAGGAATGGAGGGGATGAGGGAAGGAAGAGGGAGGAGGAAGGAGGGAGCGGCAACAGCGAGAAGGGAAGGAATGGGAATGAGGAGAGAGAGGAGGGAAAGAGGAGAGATGCAGGAGGGGGCGGAAGAGGACACAGGGAAGGAGGGGAGGAGGAGAAGATGAGGGATGGAGGGAATGAGGAGGAGCGAGGGAAGGGGGGAGCGAGGAGGGAGGGTGGGTGGGGGAGGAGAGGAAGCGAAGGAAATATCGCGAGGTAGTGGGGTGCGAGAGGAGGAGCCGGGGAAGGAGTGAGGGGAGGAGGAATGAGAAAGGGGCGAGGGGGAGAGGAGGGGAGAGAGGGGCGAGGGGACGGGCTAGGAAGAAATGAGCGTGAGGAGGAGGTAAATGAGGGACGGGACGGGAGGAGCGAGGAGTGTGGAGCGAGGATGGAAGGGGCAAGCGAATGGAGGAAGGAGGGCGGGGAGGAGGTGAGCGGGTAGGGTGACGAGGGATAGGAAGAGGAGTAGCGACAAGTGATGCTGGGGGAGGGACCCCCACCCCCAGTCCCCGCAGCGCCCCCGAAGGAGCGCCACAAGCGCACCTAAATGCGCTATTTCGGTGACTATCTTGGGGGGAGGCCCGCCGCACTCGAGTCATCCCCCCCAAACGCTCGGAATTCGTACCCCCCACCCCGGTCCCAGCAGCACCCTCCAGGGCCTCCGAAAGAGCTCCCGTGGGGGGTCCCGAGGAGCGCCGCGGGGAGGGGCGCCGCGCTCGAGACATCCCCCAAAACCCTGATCCCGGCAGCACCCCCCACCCCAGTCCCGGCAGCACCCCCCAACCCCCACCCCATTCCTGGCAGCATTCCCCACCCCAATCCCCCAGGGGCCTCTTGGAGGCCTCCTGGGAGCCTCTTGGAGGCCCCCAGGAGGCCTTGGGAGCCTCGAAGGCCTCGGAAGCCCTCCGAAGCCCTGGCAGGCCCTGGGAGGCCCTCGGAACCCCAGGACCCAGGACCTCCCAAGGACCCCCAAGGCGTTCCAGGGAAACGACCAACGAGTGACCAGCAGTTCCCCACCGTCAACATCCGAACCTCGGATCCCTACATTACCTCACCTCCTTACCCCAACCTCGGATCACTCCACTTACCTCGCCCTCCTCAAGACTTCCATATCCCCCACCAGGATGAGATGAAAGGATGAGGAGCGGGAGGACGAGGATGAGGAGGAGAGATGAGAGGGAAGGGCGAGGAAGAGGGAGAGGGGAGAAGAAATGAAAGGATGAGTGTGGAGCTGGGCAACGCGGGCGCAAGCCAATGTAATGCAACGCAACGCCATGCAATACAATCCAATTCAATGAACGCAATGAGCACACATTCTTTTTGGGGCCCTGGGTTTTTTTTTGAACCCAGCGCCGTTACCGGGGAGGGGGGTATGTTATCCTGTAGTGATTTTGGAACGCGCCGTAGAGGGGTTCGATGGGAAAGTTCCACAACAGGAATCCTTTGGAAAGCACCACAAGGAGATTCTAATGGGAAGCATCACAAAAGGAATCCTGTGGAAAACAACACAAAAGGTTTCCATTGGAAAACCTTTCAATCGGAATCCATTGGGAAGCGCCACAAGAAGATTCCATTGGAAAGCCTCACAACAGGAATCCGCTTGAAAACAATACGACGGCATTCGATTGGACACCGTCACAGTGGGAGTAGTTTGGAAAGCCCCTCCCCAAAAAAATATCCTGGCGAAGGACCCAACCCATATGCAGTTGTGAGTACCGTCGTTGCGGGCAAGTTGCGGGTATTGACTTGTGGGGATCTCCTCATGGGGCCATGAAGCATGCGAAGGGTGTGGGGCGGGGCCGCCATATGGGCGCTGCCACTGCTGCTTTAGGCGGAGCACTACGGTGCCGCGAAAACGTGTGAAGGGTGCGCCGCAGTAGGGCGGGCCCGCCACTGGGGCCTTCGGAGAGGCTCCCTATGGGGCCACGAAGCGCTGTGCTGGGTAGAGGGGTGACGAACGCGAACACCGGCACTTGGGCCGTCGGTGGAGCTCCCTGCGGGGCCACGGAACGCTG